TAATAATAATAATAATAATAATAATAATAATAATAATAATAATAATAGACAGGAGGTTTTGTACAAGTTATCAGAACCAGGGAACCTTTTTTCCAAACTGTTGTTTTATCTCTTGTTCATGTTTGGCAGCTTGCATTGCACAGCTTGGGCATGTAAGTTGAGTTTAAGCATAGGTGTGTTCGAGAGTAAACAGTGAAACGTCAGGGAAGCTCTCTTTTTTATTTTGTGAGCTATGCAAGACCAGGGTGCTAAAATTCGTAGAGTATCTTGGAAAAAGGTAAGTTCTGCTCTCTCAGAACAGTTTTGGATTGGGGCAATTTGATTCACTGATGGAAAAGGCCACCAGTAGAAAGGTTTTACTTCTTCCTTCTCATCCCGATGATTGAAACGAAGGAAAAAGTGGAATGTATGCAATCTGCAGTGCACTTGTTTTGTGATTCATTTTTGTGAACGTGTTCAGCCAAATGTTTCTGGTATTTTTGTTATTATTATGGTTGAGGTCTTCTTTTAAAATGCGTTGAGTGTGAAAATTTAGAATGTGCTTCTTTGTACAGTTTTCATTTTTTTTCTCTGCAAAAAGAGGATGTTTTTCGATGAATTTTAGAGGGAAGGGATGGAAGCTAAAGTTTCCCCATGGTTAATTTCAGACAAATGGTATTTTCTGTCTAAAAATGCAGGGAGAATAGGACATACCTTTTGGTTTCTTTGCTGAGTAGACATATATCTACATATAACATAATAAAGATGGCAGTTTTTATCAAATGCAAACATATGTAGCTGCATGATCCAAGCTGAGAAGGCGTAAACATATATTGGAGCGTTAGTAATGTGCAAAAAGTATTTGTGGACCATTTGTTGATAAATCTTCAGAGGTGCTCATTTTGAGTTCAGTAAATGAAACTGAGTGAATATTGATTGTGTTTTACAAGAATATTTACAATTGTGCATCTATTTACCATAATTTTCACCCTTGAACAAAATTTAAACACATTATAGATACATTTAAAAGATCTGAATGCACTATGTGTATGAGTGTGTGTGAGTGTGTGAGAGAGAGACACACACACACATTTATACGGTATAACAATGATGGTAAATAAAGGTTAAAAATCTCAAAAAAGTAACAGAAAGAGCAAGATTCTTTACATATGAAATATATATAAACTATTTGGAGAATTTAAGGTTCTGAGCAAGAGAAAAGGAAGACAAAATCCCTGAAATGTCAAAATAGCAATTGTAGTAATGTAACCGAATATGTTGTCGACGGCCACAAACAATGTAAAATGATGTATAAAAAGTAATATTGGAAATTTAAAATTTCAAAAAAATAAAATAAACAGAAAGTGTGACATGCTGTTTTATAGACATGTGAAGCATTTTAATCTTTTCCATGTATCTGGTATGTGTTTACATTTTGATCAAGGATGAAAACAATAGTAAATAGATGCACAATTTTATCATATTTCGTGTTCCAACATTTTATATATTCAATATCTCTCCCCTCCCTTCTCCCCCCACAAATCTGTAATAGCTTAATCACATGCTGTTGCAATCCATCTGTTGTGTTTGCAATGACCTACATGGGGAGGATATGTCCCAAGTCTTCGTATTTCCTCCGTGGCATGATGAGAGTTTTTTAACAAGTATCTTCCTTTTCCAGGTAACTCCTGATGTTCGCCATGAGAGCCTCAGTTGCAAGACTTTTCCACATCTGCTGATAAAAATGATCAACAAGTCTCGTAAGTCCATCCTCTGCTGTTTTTTCCTTCCTACCTTGCATGCCCTCTGCTAATCTGAAAATAAATATTTCAAATTTACAGGGTAAAAGTTTATCCTCAAAACATTTATAATAAGAGGTTGGCAGATTGTCAGCACCAGTTGCCTTTCCGGTTTTAGTCTTTTCAATATCTTCACAAAATTTGTCCTTGATTTTCTTCAGTAAATTCTGTTCATGTAAATATTTACCCACTTTTTCAAGGGAAAGTTCTTTTCTTTTAACATAAAGTAGAATAATACCAGCAGGCTGGTAGTTTTAACTATCTTTTTCCCAAATGCCATCACTCTGCTGAACAAATAATTCCCTCAACACTGTCTAACTATTTACAAAGTCTGCACTACTATTACTATTAATCTTCTCATCACTCCTTATTGCCCATCCCCTCCCACTGGTGACTGTATGACTACAGCTTTGTCGCTTGTATGCTAACAATTTATATTGACTGTTTCCTGGTATGATTTGATTGCTTATTGTATCCTGTGACTACTATTAAGTGTTGTACCTTATGATTCTTTTTTTGTAAAAAGTTTTTTATTTTTTAATTTTTATACATCTTTTCACGTGAGCAACATGTTTCCAGATTATAATACTTGTACATAGTCATACTTTCATTTCCTTTAATCTTATATAATATTAACTCATATTATTATCCATTTCACTCATTTTTAAATAAATTTGCATTTCATATTTCAGTTCATTAATTCAATATCATTTCATCCATACATAAGTTTTCAATTCATTATCCCCTATTATTTCCATTTTCATCATACCACCAATTTTATTTTGCATTACAAATCATTATTGTCCTTAGTTTTCTCTAAGCCGATATATAATAAACAATCTAAGAAGAGTAAAAATATAGTAAAGCCAATATATTTAGGATCCACATGGTATTTTCCATTCCCCTACTTTAATCATAATAAAACATTCTCGTTATACAATTCTAATATCCATTAAATAATCAACTGTATATATAGTCAACTGTATCTATCCCCACCAGTAAATCACTAGAATAACTTCTTAATGTCTCTCATTTTATCTTCACTTTACTTTATTTACAATCATTAATAATCATATTTTTTAATTCATTTCCATTCCCTTGTTTTAATCCTCCAAAAAAGAAAAGGGTTCATAACAACACATTTTATATACAGTTTATATTTGTACCCCCCTTATAGAATCCCTAACCCTTATCTCTGAATTTTTTTGCTTTATTATTTCTTTTAATTTTAGCCAACTTTCCCTTTTCTAAATTTCCCTGATCTTCCTTCTATCCCTCTAGCATGTCGCCCATCTTCTCCCCCCCTTTCCTGTTCTCTTTTTTGAAGTTTCTTCTTGTATAATTTCTTCTTTTGTTTAATCCTGGGAGCGTTTTCTCTTTTATTTATTGACTGTCATCACTGTCATAGTTTTAATTCCTTTAGTGTCTTTTGGCAGTGTCTCTTTTTCTCCATGTCTATCTGAGCCTCTTCTTCCTTTAACTCTGCCTCACTGGAATTTCTTTGTTCTTCTGCCATCGCCATTATTTCCTTTTCCAATATTTCCAATAATTCCCTTCTTTCTTTCAGCATTCCTCTTACAGTTTGCAATTCCAATTAAAGTCTTTGCTTATTTCTTCCATTTTTTATAACCAGTTAAGTTATTAATATTGCAATCCCTGCCAAAAGTCTCCTTTTATCTTTGTTTCTCTTGTTAATCCTTCTGTCTCTTTCACAATCAACACCCAACAGTCCCAGGGAATTGCATTCATATATCCTCTTAGTAGAGTTTCTCCCCCTTTTTAAACAAATTTCTGGGGTTCTTATTATTTTATTTATCTTTTGTTTCATAACAGTTATAAGTCCAGTCAATTTCCATAAGAGTTTGTAGGAAAAAATGTCTTTGACCATTAGATGGCACTCTGTATCACTTTCCACTTTTCAAAGTTCTTTTCTTTTCTCTTTTAATTATATTAAACATTAATTTCCAAACATTTCCATGATTAATTTTCTTAATAATAACCAATTCCAGGCAAGTCCAATGCCTAATTAATGCCAATTTATATTATTCAAAATTTAGTCTCTAATTTCATTGTAACTTTTTATACTCCAATTTTGTTTACCTTGTATTTTCCTCTTATTTTCTGTTCACCGCTGTGATACTCTTACGCGAGGACACTTCCTTTCTACTTCTCAGGGTTGTTAAGAAAAAATTCAGTTCTTTTTTCTGGTTACACATCGCTCATCACTTCACCACTCCAGCGCAAACTTAGGGTCCCACCAGGTTTCCGTCTTCAGGGCAGCCATTTTAGACTGCCGTTTCTCCCTGTCTTTCAGGGGAGTAATAACCTAGCTAAAGAGGGGAGATGCGGCTCCCCTCGACCCAGCTGGTGGTCTCCCCCTTTTTACCCACCCCTCCGAGGTGGGTCAGATGACTCCAGTCCCGTAGGGACCCTTCCAACAAGGTAAACACGGATTAAAGCTGTGCACAATCGCGGTCTCTGATCCGTCGTTGACAGAAACGCCACTGGAAGCCATTGTACCTTATGATTCTTGACTCTTGCAAATGTATCTTTGCTTTTATGCTTTTATGCATTTGCACCAAGACAAATTCCTTGTGTATCCAATCACACTTGGCCAATAAAGAATTCTATTCTATTCTATTCTATTCTATTCTATTCTATTCTATTCTATTCTATTCTATTCTATTCTATTCTATTCTATTCTATTCTCTCACTGTTTTTCTTGGCTTCTTTGATTGTCTAAAGTACACTGTACACTGATTGTGATAGCAATGCATTCCCAGTCACCAGTTAAATTAGTAGTTTTAAAGTTGTCCCCAAGGTGCTTTTTTTCAAGAGGCAACTGGACTTTCTGGTTTTTCTTTGAAGATGTTTTTCTTGTCATCCAAGAAGCTTCTTCAGCTCTGACTGGATCCTGAGGAATGGAAGGATTTATACTACTTGCAGACAGCTGGTCATTTGCATCCTTCTTAAAGGGCCATTGAAGCACTTGGAGGTTTATCTGTGTCCTCAGGGTCACCTGAGTTGTTCTAATAGTTCCTGTAGTCTGCAATTTTTCCTCTGGAAATCCATTCCTACTCCCACACTATTCGAAGGGTGTCCATCCCAAAGTACATAGCTAAAAATATATGGAGATTCTCAGTCATCCAGGTCATGGTTGTCCCAAAGATGCTTTTTTTTGGGGGGGGGGCGGGCAACTGGGCAAGAAACTTTTTCAGTTTTTCTTGGAAGACTTTTCACTTCGCATCTAAGAAGCTTCTTCAGCTCTGACTACTTTTAAAGAATTTACAAACTTGAGCGGAAAATTTCCTAAAGACCTTGGTTGGTGGAGCAGCTTCCGTGTTCTGCAGTTTGGAGGGCTGGGTTGCACCTGAAGGTTGCACAATGAAAAGCAGCTTTTCTTCCCCATCCCCTGAAAAGGGTTTCCAGAAAACTGAGGGACATGACAGGGTCATTTATTGTTTGAATGGGATCACATGGCACTGCAAAATGAAGCAGAGTAAAGTTTCATGGAGTGGAACCAACTGAGAGCTGCAGGTGGTTTCACTTCTGTCAGTTTAGTTCTGTTTGCTTACCTGTGTTGCAACGAATAACTTAGAATAGAATAGAATAACAGAGGTGGAAGGGATCTTGGAGGTCTTCTAGTCCAACCCCCTGCTTAGGCAGGAAACCCTACACCACTTCAGACAAATAGATGCCCAAATCTTTTCTTAAAAACTTGCAGTGTTGGAGCATTCACAACCCCTGGAGGCAAGTTGTTCCACTGATTAATTGCTCTCACTGTCAGGAAATTTCTGGGTTGCTTCTCTTAAACTTGAGTTTAATATTTGGGAGGGAGAGAAAAGGGAATGTATGATGACCTGTGATGTGGCACAAAAACAACACAGTCACAAAAGTAGGAAACGTCCCTTTAATATCTCCAACTTCGCTCCAATGTCCAGTTATCATCAACTGGAGAAAAAACTCTCCCAAGAACAGTTTTGAAAGGGAAGAAATTCGATCCGAACCCAAAGTACATATAGATTATAAATAAAAACCAACACAAACCAGGCTGCAGCAATTAACGAGACAGGGCAGGATAAGGAATTGCAGAATTCAAAAGATAACGAAACACACACAGTTGGGAGCACACACAGTTGGGAACCCAGATAAGACTTGACAAACCAAAATAATGCATGCTTTGCTTCCAACAAGGAGCTGTGCGCAAATGCCCTTTTTAAATCCTGTTTTCCCAGCTGCAACTAATGAAGGGAATCAGGGCCCTTTTCTCCCCCATAAGCCATGCAACTCATGTTGCTCCCTTCTCCGTTCCTCTCTGAGTACCCTAGGATGAAGAGGGGATGGGCCTGGGTCTTCCCCTGAATGCCCAGCCAGCCTGTGCCCTTCCCCAGTTTCCTCCACAGCCATCGGAGCCACACTCCTACTCCCTGTCAGCTGCTCGACCTCCCCCTTGGTGTGATTCCAACAGGGGCATAACAGAATGATTAGATACAGGGAGTCCTCAACTTATGACAGCCTAATGACTGCTCAAAATGCCAAAAAGCTTCAAAAAGGGTATTTATGACTGCTGGCCTAACCTACTTGCGGCCAAGTGGTTTTTAAGGGAGTGCTTGGGAACTGGCTCATATTTACAGCTTGGTTGCAGCATCCTGTGGTTAATATGAGTACAATTTGCAAAAGAGTCACTGAGGTCAAGAGTTGTACAACCCCTGTAAACAGAGTCACTGTGTTTACATGATTGTGATTTGCAACACTTTGCTGCCATTGTCCAGCAGAAAATGGCAAAAAAAAACCCAAAACCCAACGCCGATTGGATGTGCTGGATTCATTTAACGACCATGTGAATCACGTCACCTTTGTGGCATCCCTATGGTCACGTGGTCGAAATTCAGGCGCTTTGGCCACTGACTCGTTTTTATGACCATTGCTTTGCCCCCAAGGACATGTGATTCCGTTTTGCAGCCTTCCGAGAAGCGAAGTCAGTAGGATCCCCAGATTCCACTTAACAGCTAAGCTACTAAGCTAAAAGATATTGGACTAAAATATACACATGGTTGGAAAAAATGATTAAACAACATATAGATTTGAAGCCTGAAATATTTTTTTATTAGGAATGGTACCTGAAGGTTATAGTAAAGAAAAAACATACTTAATCATACATGTATTAACAGCAGCTAGAATTGTATTTTCTCAAAATTGGAAAAAGTGATAAGATGCCGATAGAGGGAAAAACAATTGAAAAAAATATTTGAATGTGTAGAAATGAATAGATTAACATTAGAAATTAAATAAAAAGAAGAATCTGAATATTACATGGTATGGGACTTGTTTTATAAATGAAATAAAATATATTAAAAGGGATTAGATGTAATTATAAAGCAATAAGAGAAACTAGTGTAATAGATATATTGAATATTACTCATATATATGGGAATGTGATTATTGTTATTGTATGGTTATACTGTTAAGAAGAATATTATTAGTAATTGTTAAGCACATGAAATATGTACCTAATCGACACATGATTGAAATGGAATGGTTTTATTGTATGTTAAAAATAAAAAATCTAAAAACAACAAGAACAGCTAAACTAACTTATCAACTGCAATGATTCACTTAACAACTGCGGTGAGAAAGGTCATTAAAAATGGGCAAAAGGCATTTAACTCACTTAACAACAGAAATGTTTGGGGCTCAATTGTGATTGTAAGTCGAGGATTGCCTGTATTAGAGTTCAATGCAAGAGAGCCCTGATAACTAACAAGTTGGTATCCGAGGTCTTGGCACCGCAAACTTAAGCTGACTATTATACATTTTCCTCTTTCTCCCTTACTTTCTGCGTGGTGCGTTTGTGAAGCCAGTCTATTAGGTTAGTTAATGGTTCAATCCACTGTACAAACCCAGAAAATGGATTAACCGAGTTAAGTCTGTTCTGCAAACTCTGCCAGGATGAAGGACTTAAAGGAGTTAATTTGCTGGTCCTGCATAATCTTCTTTTAAATAGGTTGCTTAATGGTCTTTCTGGAGCTCCCCAGCCAGTTCAGTTCTGACCATCTGCTCCGTTTTCTTTTCCGGCCCTGTGATTTATAGAATTAATAGTAGGTACACAGCTGTAGTGTTAGCGAGTGGGTGTCAGCTGAATAAAATTAGGTTCTCTGTTTTCGACATTGTTGAGGAATGAATGTAGAGTCATGTGTGTGTTTTTTAATTTCATCTTTACAAAATTGTATCTCAAAACTGGGAGAGCAAGAAGTGTGGAGGCTATATAAATCAAGCCAGGCTTTTCTTTGGCTTGCAGACGTACTTATTTTATTGCTTCAAAAATATCAGTGGAGAATTACTTTAGTTTGTGTCTAGGCGTTAAATGTATATGTCCCACCCTCTGAATACCAAGCGATATCCCAAATTTTGCCCCCCTTTCTTACTGAAGAGAAAGAAAAGCCATTTGTGCATCTTTTTCAAGATGGCTCGAAACAAAAATAACTTCAATTCAGCCACCCTCGTTTCTTTCTTAATCCTTTTGTGCACACAGCAGAAAGAATGCGATAGAAGTAGTCCTTGACTTATGACAACAACTGAGCCCAACATTTCCATTGCTAAGGGACACAGTTGTTAAGTGAGCTTTGCTTGCCATGGGCCTTAAATGGATCACTCTGTTGTTAAGTTAGTAACAGAACCTGGCTTCCCCACTGACTTGGCTTGTTCAGACAGTCACAAAAAGAGAAATCACATGATCCCAGGACACGGCAACCATCATAAATACGAATCCGTTGCCAAGCGCCTGAATTTTGTTCACATGACCATGGGGAGGCTGCCACCGTCGTAAGTGGGAAAAAGTCATTTTTCCCAGGGTTGTTGTAACTTCAAACAGTCACTGAATGAACTGTTATAAGTCAAAGACTATGCTGTTTTCCTTAGTAAGGCATTGTTTTGCCTGCAATCTATATTACGTTTGGCCTTGATTACAACAAGCCAAGTTGGAAGTAAGGTTTCTTTTGCTGGTTTGAGCTACCTATTTTTATACGTAATGGCATTCAAAGGTGCAGAAAGAGTATCAGGTGCTAGGAACATAGAGTTAGCAGAAGCTTCTAAATTCCATGACTGTTGATCTCTTTCCCAATACCTACCCATGTTTTCCTGAAAATAAGATCCTGTCTCAGTGGTGGTATTCTGCCAGTTCAGTCCGGTTCTACCAAGCCACTAGGAGCGAAGAGCAGCGGAGACTCAACTGGCTCTCTTCACTGCTCTGCTGTTGGGCCCACCTGCCCACCTGCCCACCTGGGCTCCCATACTCACTTTTATCCTCTGAATTTGAAGCGCAGCTGCTTTGCTTGGCATAGAAGAACGCCACTGAGCCTGCGCAAACGCCTCTACGCCTGTACAAAATGTGTATTTGGTACACGCGCGCGCGCAAGTACGTGCACTTGGGCAAAGCACACTCACCAAGCCACGCCCACCAAACCGGTGGTAAAAATATTTGAATCCCTGTCATATTGCCACAAAAAAAGGCACCAGGTCTTATTTTTGGGTGGATGTCATCCACTGACAAACCTTACTTGCACACGTCGGCCTGGCCTCCTTTTCGCTGTCAGAGGCCTTCAGGAACTTCTTTTCCTGCGGCCGGCAAGGCTTTCCTGAAAGCCTCTGCAGCCGATAACAGATCTCCAGATTGATCTGGAGCTGTGTTATCCGCTACAGAGGCCTTCAGGAAAGTCTTGCCAGCCTTGCTGGCTGCAGAAGAAATGGGCTGGTAAGGCAGGTGTTGGGGTGTGCAAGGCCTGGCTACAACTGTCCAAAGGTAAGTAGTAGGGCAGCTCCACCCCTCCCGCTCATCCTCCCCCTAGCTTAATTTTTACTGGTGCACACTGGAGTGGGCAGGATCTTAATTAGGGCTTATTTTGGGGGGTAGGGCTTGTAAAAACATGTAAAAATCTAGCAAGGATTTACTTTCAGAGCAGGTCGTATTTTGGGGGAAATGTATTATTTTTAATTTGTGAATTGGTTCTTGTTTTAATGGAAAGCATTAGTGTTCTGAATATTGAAAAATCCTGTCTACTCTCGTTCATTCATTCATTCATTCAAATTTATTAAACCAACTCTCCCCTCTCTTCCATATTTTGGAGTATTTTAAGGTTGAAAGATTCCCCTGTTGAAGGACTTGGGCTTAACACTTTGACTACTTTTTCCTTTACTCAGGATGGAAGATACTTGGACTATTGGCTGTATTTCTGCTGATGGTGTGGTATACAATATCCCGGGAAGAAAGGTACATACCTCTGTGAGTGTATTTCTTAAAAAAAAAAAAAAGGATTATAGGAAATTCATTATTCTTTGCTCTGTCTCCTTTCTTGGATAGGTTAATTAGATGGACAACACTAATTAGAAGTCATTTTTCAGAATTTTTGAGCCTGTTTGAGGCATACAGAGAGAGAGAGAGAGAGAGAGAGAGAGAGAGAGAGAGAGAGAGGAGGGAGGGAAAGAGAAAGATGCATAATTAAGATTTCTGTTTTGAATCCTTATTATTTATTGGTCCATTTTTTTAATACAGCATGAAAGTGGAGACTTATATTTATTTATTTGTTTATTTGTCAAACATGTATAAGATAACAAATATAGGTATGAACATAAACATAACCAAAGAAAGTAAATACAGATGAATGGGAACCGTAGGACAGGGACAATAGGCACGCTGGTGCGCTTATGCACGCCCCGCTTTAAGGACCTCTTAGGAATGGGGTGAGGTCCACGGTAGACAGTTTAAGATATATTGTGTATATACAATACTTACTGGCTCGAGGCAAAATATATAGCATTCCTCCCTACTATACCCCAGTAACTACTATGAGGTAGATTGGGCTGAGAGAAAGTGGCTGGCTCAAGGTCCCTCAGCATAGAAGCTCATACCCAGGAAGCTTCTAAGGCTGATGGTGTTCAGACTTATAACTGTATCATAAATCAGATTCTCCAATGAAGCACGTTCATGGGCTGGGTGTCATCAATCACATAGTCTTCTACAATCTTTTTAAGATAATGGTGGAATGTACTTCTGGTTTTACTGCCTTACTGCTCCTTCAGATTGCCCCACTTCCCTGTTTTTGGCAACTTGAAAACAGGCATAAAAATGTTTTATGATTTGATAGAGGGCTGCATCAGGGTTGGCCAGCTTGACATTACTCGTGTCAAGGATGTTTGTGGTGGTCCTAGTGCTCTGCCAACAAAAAGAGACTCCCAATCTCGGTTTTCAGCTGGGGTGGCTTCCTGCAATCTTCTGCCAATGAAAATGGAGCTGACATGCAGCCCTCCTGAGCTCCGTTTTTGCTGGCAGAGCATTGCAGGAAGCCGCCTTAGCTGAAAACGGAGATTGGGAGCCCATTTTCGCTGGCAGAGGCACCGCAGGCGGCCCTGCCTAAGCACCCCACGGGCCTTGAGTTTGACAACTGTGATTAACAACTCCAATGATATCACTTTCCTCCTCCTTGCCATTTGTCTTGCAGTTTTGATTTCCACTTCCAAGATGAAAAGATGACCTGCCCTTTCAAAGAGGTAGAAAAGAAAGCCGCACAATTGATACCAAAGTGAGTAACGGGGCTGGTTGTTTGCTCGAAGAACAGATCTTTTCTATTTAATTTTCTTGTACTTCAGAGGGGAAGGAATGTGGTGGGATAAGGAAGTATCGCTAAATAAGAAAGGAAAGATAAAGTAGAGAAGCCTCTAGAATCATATCATCATCTTTTCTTCCTTAACTTCAGTTACACACGGGAACCTCCACTGTTTTTACACCTAAAGGATTATTTCTGGGTGAAGACCCCTTCCCTATATGAACTGCCTTATGGGACAAAAGGAACAGGTAAGCAAACTATACGTCTCCTTCTCTTCCTCCCTCCTTCTTATCATAAAGCTTCTATTTTCATTGAGTCTTGAGTCTGGTTTCCTTGGACAATTTCCATCCTTCTTTGCTAATGGATTTGTTGGGTTTATGGCCCAATCTTTTAAATTTCATTTGCCCGAGATGCCTGAATCTGATGCAGAATATGTGGTGGTGTATTTTTTAGCAATTTTATTCTCCTCTAAATTTCTCCAAGATCCACCCTATCATCTCCCAATGATCTCCAGGCAGATCCAGAATTATGTAGCTTCCCTGCCCCTCCCTCTGAGTTTCATTTGACATCTTTCTTTTCAGATTGCACACTCAAGAGCTATGTGACAGGACATTAATCAAATTGTTTCATGGGATCTCCACTGCTTACTCTAGCTAGGTTCGTTTGGTATTCACAAGTTACTGCAATCAGATTAGACTTGCTCTGCATTGAAAAAGAAGTGAAGATAGAAGTGGAGGAAGAAAAAGATAGTTATGGACCCTTGCACACCAGAACAACTAGACACAAGGACAGTTTTTTTGCCGAACGCCATCACTCTGCTAAACAAATAATTCCCTCAACACTGTTCAACTATTTACAAAGTCTGCACTACTATTACTATTAATCTTCTCATCACTCCTTAACACCCATCCCCTCCCACTGGTGACTGTGTGACTATAGCTTTGTTGCTTTTATCCTTACGATTTATATTGACTGTTTCCTAGTATGATTTGATTGCTTATTGTGCCCTATGACTATCATTAAGTGTTGTCCCTGATGATTCTTGACAAATGTAACTTTTCTTTTATGTATACTTAGAGCATTTGCACCAAGACAAATTCCTTGTGTGTCAAATCACACTTGGCCAGTAAAGGATTATCTTCTCTTCTCTTCTCTTCTCTTCTCTTCTCTTCTCTTCTCTTCTC